GTGTCTCCTTATATTCATATTTAAAATAAATATTACCATAGGTACCTTTTCCGAATATAGTATTATTATCAGAGTTTGCTCTAAACCTAGTTTTGTTTTGTTTTGTTTCTCCACCCCAATCAACATCACCTCTATCAATTGGTTCAACATATTTGGCCAACACAAAGCAAAAAATGGCTTGAAGTCTTTCATCTAGCTATGGAACTTTGCTCAATCTTGCCCGTGACTTTATTATAAGGCATGGGCCCAGAGGTGGTAAGCAAATTAAAATATAAACTTAACCTTAACCCATCAACTATCGCATCACCGTCTGGTACTACTTTGTTAGTTCGTTTTCCTTCTTTATTTCAAAACATGGTCGTTATCCCTGGGTCAGTCTGACTGCTATATGATGTCATTTTAAGATTTAATAGCTCAACTTGTTGCGAATTTAGGACAAATCATTCAAAAATTAAATGTAAGAATTCAAGGTCAAGAAATATTTTCATTAATAGGTTATGGAGATTATTGGTCAGTAAGTGATTTTTTCTTACCTCCCACTCAGCGAGCTTTACCTGATAAGCTGATGCAGGGCATCCACGATGAGACTGGCCCGGGAAATCTCACCTTCTTAAGACCATGATCTTTGACAGTTAGAACTGCCGGGCACAAAGCTACCATTTCACTCGCTTACGGACGAGGACCAGCTTCTAATGGGTCCAACTATTGCACTCCCCTCAATTTAAATCTGTTTAACGCAAAAGATAAGTTTCATCCCTCAGGTTTTGGAGGTCAGCTTGAATATAAATTTATTTTTAGTGACCATGCTTAAAGTAAAAGTTTCAACTGATTCATCAACAACACCAAATTACCATCTTAATAATATTGCTCTTTAGTATGAAACCGTTTTTAATCCTGTTTTTCCTCAACCCTTTAATGTGATGAACTGGGATGGCGTTCTAAATGGTGTCAAACATTCTCTGCGCGACAAAATGATAAAACACAAAAATATTTTACATTTATATTTAAAAAATTAACTTTTATTGTAAATGAAAGCAAATGGTTTACATTTGAAAGAATTCGTATAGCATGTTTTTGTTTGCTGAGAAGTTTTTTTAACTTGGTTGTGTTGGTGCTGCACCAAGCTATGTTTCCATAATTAAGGTAGCAGTGAATAAAAGAAAAGTATATATTTTTTAAACAGTCTTGATTTAATACTTGTTTATATAATACGCCAATATTTTTTGATATTTTGTTCTCTATTGTATTTATATGTTCACGCCATGAAAGGTTTTCGTCGAGAATTACACCTAAGAAGGAGCACGAGTGTTCTCTTTTTATGTTAGAGTTATCAATACATAAATTGGGAAGTTTTTAAGGAATAATATTTTTTTTTGTGTAGTCTATGAAAGAAAGTATACTTGGTTTTACTTATATTTAGGGATAATTTATTCGACCTGAACCATTCAGTTAAATTTGCGAGTTCCTTATTGACTGTTTTAAAGAAGAGGTCGATGTTACTATTTGAGTAAAATAAGTTAGTTTCATCCGCGAATAAAATTGAACTTAGAATGTTAGAAAACTTATACAAGTCGTTTATATAAACAATAAAGAGGAGTGGTCCGAGTATCGATCCTTGGGAACACCGGAAGAAGCAATGTTTGCGTTTTTAATACCATAATGATATAGTTTGGCTAGAAGAATACTATGATCTACCGTGTCAAACGCTTTGCTGAGATCTATGAAGATACCTACTGCATACTTTTTTTCATCGAAAGCTTTAATTATGTCATTATTAAGGTGAATAATAGCATGGTCAGTGGAATGCCCTGACTTAAATCCAAACTATTTGTTGTAAAAAATATTGTTCGTATTGAGAAAATAATAAAATCTATTGTACATAATTCTAACCAATATTTTTGAAAAACAAGAAAGAATTGGAATTGGTCTGTAATTTACAACACTTGAGAGATCTCCAGATTTGAAAACTGGTATAATTTTAGCGATTTTAAGTTTTTCAGGATAAACGCCTTGTTTTAACGATAGATTAAAGATGTGTAAGAGTGGAATGGTTATATATTTTATTGATTTTATGATAACAAGAGTACTGATATTATCGAACCCTAAACTTTTTTTGGGTTTTAACTGGAACATTGGATCTAACAGATCTCTTTCCGTAAGTTCATCATTGCTCATTACGTTGGTGTTAAAGAGATTCAAATTTTATTTCTGTGGGTTCTATTTTTGATGCTAAGTTATAACGTACATCAACAAAATACTGATTAAATTTTTCTGCAATTAAATTCTTATCTGTAATAAATTTGTTGTTTGTGTATAAATTATTTGGGAGGCTATAACTATCTTTTTTTTTTTCCCAATTACTTCCTTAATTTTGCTCCACATCTTCTGTGTATTTTTATTGTGTTTATTTAATTGTTCAGAATAATAAGATTTTTCAGAACGTCTTAAAACTGATTCATAAAGACGCTTGTAGTTTTTATAATTGATTTCATTTTCAAGTGTTCTTTTTTTGATAAATTTATTGCACAGGCGCTGTTTTCTTTTTTGATGATTTGAGAATACCCTGTGTTATCCAAGGATTTAGCAGTGTTTTTGTTTTGACAAACTTTGTAGTCTCTGGAAAAGCTTTGTAATAAAGGTGTTGGAACTCGTTAAGAAACGTATCATATGCTGTATCAACGTTTGTAACTTTTATAATGTGATTCCAATTTTTAAGAGATAAATGGTTATGAAAACCATTAATAGTGATTTCATTTATTCTTCAGGATGTTCTTTTCAATTTTTGTACAATATTGTTATCGGACTTATGTGACATTATAAATACCGGAAAGTGATCAGAAATGTCTGATATAACAATGCCTGATTGAATTTTGATGTTTGCGAACTCATTTGTGATTATTTGATCGATTGATGTAGCACTTTCTCTGGTAATTCGAGTGAGTTTATTAATAATCGGAATGTAGCCATTCTAAAAAATACAGTTGAAAAAGTTTATTTTTTTGTTTTTATCATACTCAAGAATGTTGAGGTTAAAATCACCCACGAGGTATACGCTTTTATTTGATCTTAATTTAGTTTTAAATATTTTTTTTACATAATCTTTAAATGTTTTGATTGTTCCAGTAGGTGGCCTGTATACAGCGTACACGATAATATTTTTTGAATTTTTGTTTATAATTTCAATGCACAACGACTAGTAATTGCTGTTAGTTGAGCATGAATCCTATTTATGTTTGTATAACAATGAGTTGTTTATAAAAATACATAATCCCCCACCTGTCTTTTCAGTGTTTCTAAACTGATGAACCACTTTATAATTTTTTAATTGATAGTTTAAGTCATTTTCTATATATCCGTCGTGACACCAAGTTTCGCAAAGGCAAATGACCTGGAAATTAACTTTTATTTTAGACAAAAACTGCTTGAATAAATCAAAGTTTTTTTGTAAGCTCCTTATGTTCAAATGCAATACTGAAAACAAATTAATATCCAATTCCTTTGTAAGGTCCTCAGATTCTAGGTCATAATATATTGGATTTATATTTCGAGTTAATTCATTATCAGGGCCGGCGCGAGTAGGTGTCACGTGGGGGGGGGGGGGGGGTTGGGGTGGGGGGGGGGTGCCATTACAACTTTTGCCGACTAAAAAAAAAAAAAAAAGGTCCTCGTTTTCCAAAATTTGCCGACTGCCATTACGACATTTGCCGACTGTCTAACCTATATCGAAAGGGTCGATATTTGCCGACTAACTAGTCTAAAAAGGTCCGATTTGCCGACTAAAAATCATTGATGGGGGGGGGGGGGGGTGTCACATACCCCCCACACCCCCCTGTCGCGCCGGCCTTGTTCATTATTATTATAATAGTTAATATCAGGATCAGAATCTATATCTTATATTGTTTTTTTATTTTGAAATGTATTGAATTCTAAATTTTGGAAAGCTGTATTTAGACTCATTAGTAAGGTTGATAGTATAATATAAAATAATATAAAATAAAATAATATGAAATAATATAGTTAAAATATATTAAATGTGTTTAATCGAAGTTTTAAACTATAGTTATAAATAAGGATGTCATTAAGCGCTGGTTTGCTTATTCCTAAAATCTTTTACAATAAGTTTATCATAAATAATAACGGAATACTTACCGTTCTTTTTGTGTTCTTTCATTTCGTTCAGTAAACCTTTGCGTTTCGTTGGAAAAATCTTCGTTTATATAGATTCCCGTTCCCTTGAGTTTATTAGCCGCCTGTAACACCTTGACTTTGTCCTTATAGTGAAGTAATTTGACAATTATGGTTCTTGACTTATTTTCTTCTTTTTTCCCCGTTCTGTGTGATCTTTCTATGTTGATATCGCTGTTAAGACAATCTATTTTCAAACAAATTTAGTACCTTTTTTTCTGTGTCATTTCAATTTTCAAAAATAGAGACGTCTTTTATATGAAAGACCATTTATATAAATTTTTTCCAAAAGCGTCTTATACTTTTGTCGCACTAAAAAAGCAGTTTTTTTTTAATAAAATGCATGTTTAAAAATAAAATGCAAATTTAAAATAAATTTTTTTAAATATTGTTTAGTCTTGTAAACTCTTTGCTCTCAATTACAATAAAAATTAGTTTTTAAATATAAATATATAATAGAGTTTTGTAAATATTTTTAGGGTGTCTTATTATTATGTCGCGCAGTGTAAAGGGTAGGTCTCGAGGATTCAAAGCTGTGGCGTCTGTCCTGTCTGGTATCCGAGTGTGGCTGTGGCGCAATGGTTGGAGCACTTGCTTTTTAAGCAGGAGATCCAGGTTCAAAACGAGCTTTGGATATATTCTCGCGTCACGGTAAGGAAATTCCTAGTTAAATGGTTCCGCGGTGCTCTGTGACAAGACCGTTAGGACATCTTGGGGCACCTAAAATAACAAGAAAAAAAAAAAAAAAAAGGTTAGTCACGAGGGTTGGCGCCAAAGCCTTTTACATCTACTATTTGTGATAAATTTTAATTTAA